TGAAGTTGCGACACGGCAAGAATACTGTTTAAATATGCTTTATATGTACAGTTGCCAGTAACACTAAGGTCACTAAGGTTACCCCGGCAACTCACTCCAGCCCACCGCCTCGAGCGTCCATGGCGGCAGACTGCTCCGCCATGCTCGATGGCACCGCGGATTCACCACAGCGGCGAGGGATCTCTGGCAGCGTGTCCCTCCTTCCTCCCGGGTTTCGGCACCAATGTAACAAACGTTCGTAGGTCGGGAAGAAGGAGGCGGGAACCGGCAAACATTTAAGATTTTAATAATAAAATAAACAAACACAAAATAGCGCGACAGCCCCTCGCGGACGACTGTCGCATACAAACAAAACCAAAACACAAAATAAAATCCAGGCCTGGTCCTCTCTCGTCTTTCACTGTTGTCACTCCTACTTTTATCCTTCCGGAGCTCCTCCCTGAGACTCGAGACCGGTGAGTGGCGCAGGTGTCGCGCATTAGCAATTACTCCACCGGCCTCACTCCGTTCCCACGGCTCTCGGCCCCGCCCCTCTCGTCACAATCACGTTCTTGGGAATTCATTTTTGATTTTCCATAAGACCATGGTGGTGTGCCAGCTCAGGCTTCTGCATATGAGACCACTTCAACTATGGCTGAAATCCCGGGTGACACGCAGTGCGTGGCAAAACAGCCAGTTGCGCGTTTTGGTGACTCTCGGATGCTTGCGAACACTAGCCCCCTGGTTCAACACAGCGATGTATGAGCAGGGGGTCTCGATGGGCAGAGTTGTCAGCAGGAAAATTGTCTCTACGGATGTGTCATCGACTGGCTGGGGAGCCCTTTGCGACGGCAGACCGGCTTACGGCACTTACAGACGAGTGCACAAGCGAAGTGGCATATAAACTGCCTAGAACTGAAGGCAGTATTTTTAGCTTTGCAATGCTTTCTTCCACTCATAAAGGATCGACACGTCCTGGTGCGAATGGACAACACAATGGTGGTATCCTATATCAACCATCAGGGAGGTATTCGTTCACGCTCGCTCCAAAGCTGGCGGAGCATTTCCTTTTTTGGACTGACAGAAACCTTCTGTCGATTCAAGCAGTACATGTTCCCGGCAGTCAGAACTACGGCGCGGACATGCTGTCCAGAGGAGGCCCAGTTCACAGGGAGGGGAGGCTGCACCCACAAACTATTCAGCTGATCTGGAGCCTGTTTGGAGAGGCGGAGATCGACTTGTTTGCCTCAGAGGAGAATGCGCATTGCCAGCTGTTCTTCTTACTGTCGAATGCGCCCCTGGAGGGGGATGCTCTTTCGAGTCGCTGGCCCAGGAAGCGCAAGTATGCTTTTCCCCCAGTGAAGATTATGTCTGAACAGATCAGTGCTGCACAAGATCAGAGAGGAATGAAAGACGGTGCTCTTGGTTGCGTAGAATTATCCCAACCACCCGTGGTTTCCGGAGTTGGTGGAGCTTCTAACAGCACCCCCGTGGCGGATTCCATATAGCAGAGAGATCTCTTATCTGAGGCAAAGGGCTCGGTATGGCATCCCATACCGGAGCTATAGAACCTGCATGTTTGGCAGGTCAGCGCAAAGGTCGAGTGCTAAACGTATCGCAACGAGCCTTGGATACAATCGCAGAAGCGAGAGCTCCTTCGATCAGAGATCTGTATAATCTGAAATGGAAGGTTTTCATTTCATGGTGTATGATGAGAAACGAGGATCCAGTCAGATGTGTCTGTCATCCTATCGTTTTTGCAGGACTGCTTGGATGCTGGACACACGCCATCTACTTTAAAAGTATATGTGGCTGCTATTTTGAGTTTGCATTTGCCGATCGGTGGACTGCCAGTAACGAAACAGCGGCTGTCACATTGGATTGTGGAAGCGATTGCATTGGTGTATGCTTCTAAGAATGAGTCCTGTCCGTGGGGAATACAGGCCCACTCCACAAGAAAGGTGGCTTCATCGTGGGCTTGGGCAAAATGTCGATTCAGGATATTTGTCTGTCTTCACAGGACACATTTGCCAGATTTTACAATCTTGAGATTCCGTCATTCGCACCGCTCGTTCTGTCTACAGCGCTTGTATTGGTGGTTGCCTGCACCTATCCACGCCCCTCCCTTTGAGCAGGGTGGTTTTGACTAGGTCCGGTGGACCCGAGGCATACCTATCATGCTAAAGCATTATATTCAGCAGTTCTCTACATGCGCTTGAGCTGCTGCTGACTGCGGTAAGTGTGCTGATGAATATCTTATGTTGGAGTGACAAGGATTATGTGTTTATTCTCTCAGTTATGTCGTGATATATATGATATATGCTGATATATGCTTCTGTGACATATATACATGTCACAGAAATCAGTTAATTCTCAGCACATAGAGATTCTTTCACCTAGATATCACACTATAGAGATTGTGTCTGTTCCCCGAACTAGAAAATACGAAAACCGTCCAAACCAATTTAAGAGTAACAATTTAATTGATGTTCAACAAATAAAAAACAGATGTAATACGGATAAACAAATGATAAAGCTTGGCTTATTGAATATCAGGTCCCTTTCTATGAAAGCACTTTTTGTAAATGATATGATCACTGATCATAACCTAGATGCCCTGATAGCAACAGACTCCGGCGCGGATCCGCCCTCAAGTTGGCAGCTCCGCTGTACTGTCAGACTCTGTTCGGTCATTCGCCCAGAATATGCCCCGCCTCCGGACAGCGCACTGTCAGTTAGCGGACTCATTATGGACACTGCGCTGATTAGCAATCCGAACGCGGTTTTATTTTTTACCGATGCCATCTCAGAAATCCTCCTCAGAGTGGAGAAGCTGCGGCCGGCCAGGTTGAAGAAGACTGAACTCGGTAAGAATACTTTTAAAATATGCTTTATTTGTACAGTTGCCAGTAACATTAACATTAATAAAGTTGTTAATTGCTTTGTTGTAGTTTTTAATTTTTGAAATTGCGTTGTGGAATGTCCAGTTAAGGTTAGCTCTTTAGCATTATTAGCATTATCATAGATTTGAGTACGTTAATAATAGGCCTATTTGGATGGGATCTCCCTCCTTTGTGTGAGACGGGTAGTTTAGTTGGCTATCCGGATTTTAATGTATATGTAACATTAGGTAATTTTTCATCCCTCTTTAGGAATAACTGCAGGTGAGAATAAACTTTTTTTTTTCATTTAAATTTGGTTGTAGAATATTAGTTCAAGTCTATTTTTATTTATATTTCGACAAATATATTCCCCACCTCTCCTCGTAATGTTGTTTTAGTACATATGAAATAAACTAGCGGACTCATTACGGAGGCTTGGCGGATTCGCAATCCGAACGCGCTTTTTTCCAACATTATGAAGCTGCCTGCCTATCAGTGAACACTTTCTTTGAGTTTTGGAGTCATACCAAACATCAGTGTTGGGCTCGTTCATTGAGGCGTATTGTTAGTCATGTGGGAGTGGTAAGAATTTGATAAAAGTGCTTGGTACATGTTTGCTGTATAAGCTAAACTATGGTGAAATCGTAATGTGCAAATCGAGTATAAATACAAACGTATTGTCCGCACACTGATGTAAGGAGTAGGGTGAAGCTGCAGGCCCAGGGGCCCAACTGCACACTCAGACCTGCATGCTCAGACCAGACCAGCACTCCCAGAACTATCGTTTTTTCAGACAGTGCCACCTGCTGTTTGGAAGATTATCTAACCTGATTAGATAAGATTACCTAACCTGAATTCAATTGCTGATAGATTGCAATTTACACTATTTTTCTACTATAAAATATTACGCTATGACTGAATGCATTATTATATAAAATATTACACATACTAGGTTATGATTTAATGCATTAAATCTGGTTTATTTTTATTAATTGTATTTGTAAATATAAATTGTTCAGTTACTTAAATATTTTCATAGTCATTTATTGTTTTCTTAATTATTAAGGATTTATCACATTCTTTAGTATTGAGTTAGGGGATGAACATTAACTCTATATTTACATACAATAAATTATAGTGCTCGGAGTCATTTTCTCACACCAAACTTTATTTTTGTATTCTTTTTCATGAGGTCCTACAAGTCATCGAGCTGTAAACAATGCAGAGAAAAATGGTGAAAAAAATAATTGGGTTAATAATGTATATACTACATATTAAATAACATAGAATAAAATAAATGCTTTACATTCTTGTTGGGGAGATTTTTCATTTCTCGAGCAATTCTTCTGTCAAATTCCTCAACTTCACTAAAAGAAAAGATAAATGCTGTTGTCAGAAATGTTGTGTAACACAAAAATCCAACAGTTTTTGTACAAACAAAAATTGAAAACATACCTTGAGTGATAAGTGGGGCCCTGGAGGAACATCTCTTCAGCCTCCTGCCAAGACAAGCCCTGCAGCTCGCAAAGGCCATGAATGATGGCCTGTACAAATAAACCAATTAATAAAATAAAACATTCACACACTGCAAATATTACCTTCATGCTGGACCAATCTATTGAAATGTGCCTGCAGATGCGTTTGCACTTTTGCCAACCGTGTTGGTTGGAAAACTGAGGCATCACAAAATGTAGTTCAAGTCTATTTTTATTTATATTTCGACAAATATATTCCCCACCTCTCCTCGTAATGTTGTTTTAGTACATATGAAATAAACTAGCGGACTCATTACGGAGGCTTGGCGGATTCGCAATCCGAACGCGCTTTTTTCCAACATTATGAAGCTGCAGGCCCGGAGGCCCAGCTGCACATTCAGACCTGCACATTCAGACCTGCACGCTCAGACCTATCGTTTTTTCAGACAGTGCCACCTGCTGTTTGGAAGATTATCTGCAGGCCCGGAGGCCCAACTGCACACTCAGACCTGCA